CCACCTCCCTGTCTTACACCTCTGCTCTCTGGAGGTGCTGTCCAGCCTCCCACCTGCAGGGGGCGCTGTGAAGACCCAGTGATAGCACTGTCATTCCAGCACGACTGTTTTCCAAAGATACTGATGCACTGATAAGACTAGTGGTTAGGGCGCAGCGCTCTCGCTGCTGCGGCCCGGGTTCAAGTCAGGCGTAAAACACGTCAAATGTCAACATGTGGCGACCCCTAACGGGAAAAAGCAGAGAGTGACATTCATTCATTCATACTGATGCACTAACAAGACAAAAATTAAAATCAGTGGGCTTCAGTACCGAAACATTGGATTTAATCTTGTGTTCCAAACGCATTCAGAACTTTTGTCAGTCATCGATTTCTTATTTTGAAATAATTAGAAGTAAAGACCAAAATGTACAGGTTTCAAGGATTTAGAGTTTACAATTTTGACAAATGGCCAATACTTCACAAGGATCCAGATTTAGAGTTGATGAGTTTCATGAGTCTTCGAGATTCAGAAGTGCTCAGGAAGTCGAGTTTCAGTTTTACAGGGAGCCAGAGCTGGAGGTCTGAATTTTGAGTTTGCGATTTATTAAATGCCAGGCTCTAGCCTACAACATTTACAAGTAGTCCGTTTTACAAGTATGCAGAATTTACAAGCGCCAGAATTTAGAGCTTACTTGTGTTGAGAATTTATATTTTAATGGTAAGAAACATTTTCATAAATTGGGCATAATTTTGTGCAAATAACTGATTTTTTTTTTAGTTTACAATTCAAGAACAATCACAGTTCTCCAACAAATCAGTGTTTAATTTAGTTTAATGAATCAGAGACGGGATTTTCTCTTTTTTCTTACTGATTTTTTCAAACACGTTTTGGAAAGAAAATGAGAACATTATTGAACACCCAGCGCACCACACACGTCTCTCATTTTCATTTCTTCTTATTAACGTTTTCTGTTTCCTCTTAACTTTACTGTATTTTATTCATTCTTACTGCTGTTTTCTTCCTTCCCTCACAATCAGACCTATAACTATATTAATGTTTGTTAGCAGGTTCATATTGCGGTAATTTTTGCAACAAATGTAAAAAAAGACACCACAAATCAGCTTCGCTCATTTGTCCCAGTGGCCAACAGTGGTACTGTGCCTAAATATTTTTTGAAGAAACTGTTTTCAAAACATGATGCTGGTGGCAAGCACCACAGCTACAGATATGGCTGCAACACCTGTCCAGCTAACGGCTAGCGCCCAGGTAACGCTACCCGAGGTGATTTTAGCCACGCCAGTGGACTGGCACTATGGTTGGCAAAGTCGGTCAAAGTCGCTCAGATCCAGATTTAACTGTCTCAACACTAACTGGTTGGATTACTATGAAATTAGTTGCAAGGTCCACCTTCCCCAGAAAATGACCCTCTAATTTTCAGCACTGTCATCAAGGAACATTTGTCCAGTACTTAAACTAGTTGACAATCAGCTTCAGATGCACTTTGTGTTTATGCTAACATGCTAAACTCCAAGGTAAACAGTACATCTGCCAAAAAATAGTCTGACAGCATTGTCACTGTGGGCGTGATATTTTACTGGCATTAGCATTTAGCTCAAAGCATCACTGTTGGTCTATAAACTGTCTGAACAGTTCAGACTCGAAGGAACAGCTGAAATCCTGAAGTCCAGTATCCAGTTCTCATAATACAGCCATGATTTTCCAAACTCAAACTGCATGTTACCAATATTAGCTTTAACCACAACACCACCTGATGTCATGCATCTCTCTCCGTCTCCGTCAGGGACATCATGAACCACTCAGACTCCGACTCTGCCCTGCCTCTGTCTCACAGCGAATCGCGAGGCCTGTACGGCACCAAGCCCTTCCTCCTTTCATCCAGGCTCCACCCTGTGCAGGGTTCTGGGCTTGCTGCAGCCGGAGGAGGAGGCCTTGAGAAGAGCTCCAGCCTCGGGGAGCTGAGGGGTAGCCCTGCCTCCACTCTCGCCTCCGCCTCCTCGACCCGCTCCCTCTGCATCACGTCCAACATTCCCGACAGCACGGCTATCTTTTCGTCCTCAGCCTTATCCAACTCGCTGGGCAGTAGTCGGGGGTCAGGCCTCCAGATCCTGGCCAGGAGGAGCCCGGTGGAGGATGACGGAGGTGAGGAAAGCGAGTCATCTGGCAGCCGGAGAAGAAACGCTTTTAACAAGATCTTCAAGAAGAAGCAGGGACGTCACTGAGGCTAAAGTGTCTGATTCAGGTCTGTACATTGAGCCAGGCACAATGTACAGACCTGAACAAACTAAACTGTCACTCAGAGGAAACATCGGTGCCTCATACGTTACTCATTCACTTTAATAAACTTTTTTGGCAAATAGTTTGATCTTCTTTCCACCATTAAACAGCAAGATCAGATTTGGACTCATTGTGGTATGACAGGGCAGATCCCCAACACAGAGAGGACAAGGACATGGACATGGACAAGTCCTACACCGACACAAACCAAACGAAGAAGAATAAGAGGTAGACTGAAGAAAGTAAAAGCAGGCTGGGGAGTTTTTCTTCTTCTTTCTTTTCAGAGAGAAACCTCAAAGCTAAAGATGATGATCCAGCTGGGTGTAGGAAGAATAGCCAAGAAACACATGCTGAACTGAGTCTTGTTTCTGTCAGGGAAGAATCCTTCAAAACCAGATTTAGAACATCACAGAGGGTGAAAACCACACAGGATTCAGCAGTGTAGAAGCTTCAGACGATCACAGGTTGTCTGAGAACGCCAAATAAAGTTGCAGGTTAGCTAACCAAACAAAAAGAATTTCCAGCCTTGTACAATGGTACCAGAGGTTGGTCCAATGACTGAGCCACCTCTGAGTCATTTAACTCAGGTTTACAAGCTCTGCTTGGTCAGATACAAGTGAACATCACATTGACTTATTGTGTCTTACTGAAACATGGTTACAGCAGGAAGAATATGTCAGCCTAAATGAATCCACTCCACCTAGTCACAGTAACTGTCACATCCCTCAAAGCACAGACCGAGGTGGAGGTGTGGCAGCGATCTTTGACTCAAGCCTATTAATCAACCCTAGACCTAAACATAGTTATAACTCATTTGAAAGTCTCTCACACCCAAACTGGAAAACTCAAAAGCCTGTTCTGTTTGTTATTGTATACCGTCCACCTGCTCCTTATTCAGAGTTTTTAAGTGAATTCTCAGACTTTCTGTCTGATTTAGTGCTTAGTACAGATAAAATAATCATAGTAGGCGACTTTAATATTCATGTAGATGCTGACAGTGACAGCCTCAACAATGCATTCTGTTCATTATTAGACTCAGTTGGCTTCTCTCAAACTAAATAAACCCACTCACTGTTTTAATCACACTCTTGATCTGGTTCTGACATATGGCATCAAAACTGAACACTTAATAGTTTTTCCCCATAACCCTCTTCTGTCTGACCATTTTCTAATAACTTTTGAATTTCCATTAATGGATTATACTCTATGTGGGAAACAATTCCACTACAGCAGATGTCCATCTGGCAATGCTGTTACCAAGTTTAAGGAAATAATTCCATCTTTATCTACTTCAGTGCCGTTTGCCAACACAGTGGAAGGAGGCCACCTTAACCTTACTCCCACACAAATCGATAATCTTGTTGATAGTACTGCAGCCTTCCTGCGTAATACACTTGATACCATTGCCCCTCTGAAAAAGAAGGTAGTGAAACAGAGGAGGCTAGCCCCGTGGTACAGCTCGCAGCTCCGCTCCCTAAAGCAGGCATCACGAAAAATGGAAAGGAGGTGGCGCTCCACTAAGTCAGAAGAGTTTTTCATAGCCTGGAAAGATAGTTTAATAACATATAAGAAAGCCCTTCATAGTGCCAGAACCACATTTTATTCATCACTGATTGAGGAAAATAAGAACAACCCCAGGTTTCTTTTCAGCACTGTAGCCAGGCTGACAAAGAGCCACAGTGCTGTTGAGCTTAACATTCCCTTAGATCTCAGCAGCAATGACTTCATGAGCTTCTTTACAAATAAAATCACAACTATTAGAGAAAAAAATTGCTCGGACCACTCCCACAGCTCTTGCAGATGTGCCATCTACTACAATGGCTTTAGAAACATCTGGAAGACCTCATTTATACTTGGACTACTTCTCCCCTATAGATCTATCTGAGTTGACCTCAACAATTGCTTCATCTAAATCATCAACAGGTCTCCTGGACCCCATCCCGACCAGGCTGCTCAAAGACGTCTTTCCCCTAATCAACACATCCATACTAGATCTGATTAACCTCTCTCTATTAACAGGTTATGTTCCACAGGCTTTTAAACTTGCAGTAATTAAACCTCTACTCAAAAAGCCTACTCTTGACCCAGGTGTCCTAGCTAATTATAGACCAATATCCAATCTCCCATTTATTTCCAAAATCCTTGAAAAAGCTGTAGCAAAGCAGTTATGTGACCACTTGCACAAGAATGATTTGTTTGAGGATTTTCAGTCAGGATTTAGAGTCCATCATAGTACAGAAACCGCATTGGTGAAAGTCACCAATGAAATGTCCACACAAGAAAGGTGTTCCATCAGGGGTTGGTTCGCACAAGTATATAAAGACAAACACACACGCACACACCACATGTCAGGAATCGGCGCGTTATGCTGCCAAAAATGTTGAGGGTGAACTCAATTAAAAGGCCAGACAAGGAAATGTAAAACAAAACCGTCTCTTTAATAAGAGAACTAACGCTAAACAAAACCATACAAGACACGGTGAAACACAAAAATCACAGGTCGGTATAAACAGTCCGAGATCAGAGCCAGCAAACACATACAGCAGAGGAATCCAAATACGTAGTCCAAAGGGAAGTCCGATAATTATACACAGTGACAGTCTGAAGCAAGAGGGCAAGGCAGAACAGAATAGTCAGAGGAACAAGCCGGGTCAAAAACACAAAGTACCAAAACCGAAAAATGCTGGAGAGTGAGAGGTGGCGTCTAGAACAATCTGGCTGGGATTGGTGGGTGAAGGCTGCTTATGATGCGGTGCAAACTATAATGAGCAGGTGAAACTAATGCGGGTGATGAAGAAAGTAAAAAGACCAAAACTGTGGTGAAACAAAACAGGACGTAGCATCAAAATAAAAGCCTGACAGGAAGCAACACAGAACCGAATCATGACACCACACACACACACACACACACACACACACACACACACACACACACACACACACACACACACCACACACACACAC